AGTGGGAGTGGGGTGTGGGGGTGATGGCTGCATGGGAGGGGGATCCAGAGGGGCAAGGATGATGCCAGGGGCACAGAGGTGAGCCTGCAGGTACCAAGATGACTGTTGGTTGCGTGAGTGTGAGCGGTTGTGGGCACAGGAGATGGAGGGCTGGGAGCACAGCTGTGGATGAGTGTGGTGTATACGTGCAGGTGTGATCACAGCCATGGATAAGCAGAATGTGTACGCACAGGTGTGATCACAGCCATAGATGAGCACGGTTTGTATGTGTAAGTGTGATCACAGCCATGGAGGAGTGCAGTGTGTACATGCAGGTGTGATCACAGCCATGGGTGAGTGCGGTTTGTACACACAAGTGTGATCACAGCTGTGGATGAGCATGGTATGTACATGCAGCCATGCATGAGCATGATGTGTACACACAGGTGCGACCGCAGGTGTGGAGGAACGAGATGTGGGCCTACAGAAACCAGGCACTAATGCCAGGGCTCCCCCTGCCCTCTTCTTCTTGCCCTTGCCACAGCCTCCCCGATGCCCCAGGCGGCCCTGGCAGGGGCAGGGCTGGGGCCAAGCAGCAGAAGCCCCCCAAGCTCCCGCCGCGCAGAAACATGAATGAGCCTCTCTCCACCCCGTGTGCAGCTGCCCCCAACTCCCCTCCCTGCCTGCCCCTCCCCCACCACTCGCCTGCCAGCAGCTCCAATGCACTAATTGGATTCCTAATGGCAGTAATTAATTGGGAAACTTCATTACCAGCTTGTGCGACACAGAGCTGTGGGGAGCTGGGGGCCGGGGGAAGGAGGAGGGAAACAACGCAGATGGAGCCAGACCAGACAATGCAGCCGTCTGCCTGTGGCCGTGGTGTTGGGAGCAGGGTCTGGGCCATGCAGCCGCGTCGGGACATGCCTCCGCTCCTCTGTTGCCCCCTGGTGGCTGCCCCAGCCAGCAGGGTCCCCCCAGGGCCCTGCCCCTCATGTACCAGGGCTAAGCGAGGCGCTGGATCGACCCCTTTGGCCTCCAGGGACCCCCAGGCACCCTCCACGCCAGGCCCTGGCTGCCGCATCCCCCTGGTCCCCACATCAAGATGCCAGTCATAGCTCCAGTCCCCTAAGATGGAGGCTCCTGCCCCTGCCCAGCTCCTGCCGTGGCCTTGCCCACCAGGCATGGAGGCCTTGCCAACGCCTCCCTGAGTGTGTGTGTGTGGGGGGGGTCTCTGGGCCCACGTCTGGGACCACCTGGCCCCGCCACTGGCAGCAGCACTGGCCGGACCCGCTCCCAGGAAGCCTTGCTCTCCGTGCCCCTTCCTCACTGCCCTTCCCCAGACGGGATCTGCCCCTGCCTCCGTCATATTTCTGCAGTGCACCAGGCAATCCCCCCCGCCATGTCCCCTGTCTCCGAGGTCCTCCTCACACCCCCTTCCAGTCCCCCTGAGGCCCCACAGCATGGGGGAGCCCTGGGAGCACCAGCAGGGCAGAGGGGGACCCAAAAAGCTCCCTTGCACCCTCCAGCCCGTCCCCACCCCGGTATCGCCAGTCCACACCAGCAGCTGCACCCCTCTGCTCTGTGGGGGGAAGAGGCAGGGTCTCAGGGCAGCCCACTGGAGACTCTGTCATTGCTCCCCCCTCTGCCAGCCCCCCTCTCCCGGCGCCACCTCATCAGAAATGAGATCAATGTCAGGAGCTGGAGATTTTTAATTCTGCCACCCGGCTCCCGGCTGACAGCTCTGATTAGAGCAGCTGTTTGTTAGTGTTCCCATCCTTGGGGGAGGGGGGGGTCCTTCTATGCAGGGGAGAGCAGGGGGCAGCAAGGATAATGTGGCAGTCTCCATGTTGGGATGGGGCCGCGTCTCTGTGTGATGGATCTGGGCACCCCCCAGGAGTGGGCACCTGCAACGGGCACCAGCTGGGGTGGGAAGAAGGGGGCTCATCCTAGCCACTCTGATGGAGCAGGATCCAGATGGACCCCCCTCGCCCAGCAGCCCAGCTGGGAGCAGGCCCCGCGAGGACTCCCATTTCTGTGTCCCCCCGCCTGTCCCAACACCCCCTGCACGAGGCGGGGTGGGGGGGGTCTGCTGCCGACTGTGCCCCAGCAGCTGGCTCCACGCATGCGGCTGGACCACAGCCACTGACTGGGCAGCACAGCCTGTCTGATCCCTGCGATGCTGCCTATGGGTGTCGGGGGCGAATCACGACAC